AGATTAATTTTCATTTATATACCTCTAAAAATGCAACAGCAAAAATTCAACATAAAAGTGTAACATCATATTTTATTTAGCTATGTACCAAATCACATCCAATTATTGTTAAAACTTAGGAAAATCATAAATATTCTTTGTCAAGAAAATATTTGAATTTCTATTTGAAAACACTAAAATATTGATGATGATTCTGTCAAAATCTTTCAGAGAAAAAGCTCAAAATATCTTTATTTTAAATATTTCTCAAAATCTTATATGTTTATAAATTATTTAGAATTATATCTTAGGTTAGCAAAAAAACATTTTATTATGGTTGACCAGTTTTTACAAAACAGCCTTTTGAACACCTATACCCCCATTTTTGGAATATCTATTTTTTCATTTCTTTGCAAAACTTATTAAAAAGTAAATTTAATAAGATGATATATGCTAAAAATTAAAGATAACTATAAGTTAGTTTGTTTAAAAAAATTAAAAAGCTTTAGGTCCATAAAGGCAATTAAGAATTCTCTGTCTGTGTATGTACTAAATTACATGTAGATCCTATGGACAGAGTGCAAAGTGGTTATTCCTATAAATTGAAATGCTTTGTGTGCACAATGACACTATAATAAACAAATATATACTTGCTAAATTATTTTCAATCATCCAAAAAGATTTTTTTTCAATAGATTTATATTGGTGTGTAAAATTAAAACCGGATCCGTAAAAGTGTGGACCTGCCTTAATCTAACTTGAATTGATAATAAAAAGATAAATTACAGTCTTCGGTCAGCCTTCATATCAAATAAATTAAAATTACTTGTACCATATCTATATGTATTTTGAATCCCTAAACTGATACATATAATTTTAGTTTATTCTAACATGAATTTTTTTTTAACATCAGCCAGGTATAAAAGTGGAGTACTTTAGCACCTAAGCATCCACAATACTACACGTTTTTGAGCAGCAACAGTTATCTCCCATCTTGTGGTTCTCATTAATTCCCTTTCTTCTCATGATTAAGTTTGTGTACCCATTTTTAACAAATTTGAAAATAATATTTCAGCTACCCATTTCTACCCCTTTATTTAGTCTTTGTATTGGACATATTCCTGAGAGGTCAGCAGATTTTAGTGTATGCGGGGGTGACCAAACAAATGAATCAGACGAAATATTTCTCAGCATGTGCCCCTTATGTGATGATCTTCTATATTTTGTTTGTTTTCCGCGATAACTTAGTTAAAGAATCTGTTTATAAATTTGAAGTTGAATGTTTTCTAACAACAGGGGAATTGATTAGAATGAAAAATTTTACCTGCGGTCTCCTCGGTTTTCATTTTTTTTTTTTGGCTTGATCAAGATATCAATGATAAAGTAATGAAATATGTCGGCATTGTTTGATAAATGATTTTTCGCTTGGTCCCCACAAAAACATATCAATGCGTAACCAAACTGCCCTGAAAGGGAGTGTCAATAATCACTCTAACAGGCCGTAATTAAAAAACGGTCCTTCTATTCCCCGGCAAATAAAAGTTCGACAAGTCCCCAACAATCTATTCTTTTGTGGCACTATACAACCTTTGAACCCTTTAAAATTGGTCCTTTAAATGGAACCATCAATTTTACAGAAGCACAATATGCCATTACACCCCAACAATTACTAAATACAATAAAATGTTTTGACAATGGAAAATACACCCAGGGAAGCATGGAACAAAATTTTGTCAACATTCAATTTTCAAAACATAAAAAGAAACTATAGAAAATCAGGAAATACCAGTATAAAACTAAAACAACATTTTGCTGAAATGGTCATGCTAAAAGAAAAACAGAGCACATTTCATATATAGTGCAAAGGATTTATGACCTTAGTTTTTTAAACCACAAAAAGTGTTGGATTTCCACAATGAGTAAGACTTTCGTCTCAATATTATGACTTTGGTGGGTTAAATAACTAAAATTGTAGAATAATACATTTCTTTTTGTAAACCTGATCTTGGCCATTACCAGAAGAAATTCTTGCCAATATTAACTTCTCGTGTAAACCATTAAAGGATAAAATGAAATTCCCTTCCATTATTCACGTCTTACCCAAATGTTAGAAACATTAGCTTTATGGTCAGATTGTACAGTTTACATCTAAAATCCTTGATGAAGGCAATCCAAAATGTCATTTGTTCATGGCCTTTTAATTCTAGTCTTCTTTTCTCAAATAAAAAAAAGTGGGAGGGCAATTTTTTCTCTTTTAAATGTACTTCATACTATAGTGATCTCCTCAAATAACCCTTCCTATGGACAATAATCCAGATTAATCTGATTTTGACAATGATTAATAAGATTATCCCCAATTAGCACAGCTGTATACTGTGTATATCTGTATACTTATCCTTCGTATTGTATTTTATACAGATTACTAAAGTAAAATTTATAGAAGGAAGGATCAAAACTCAATGCCTTTTCTGGGCTGCCTTGAGAACTGACATGTTGAACTTGTTCTTAGCATGCACACATGCACCAAGTAACAATAAGTCCCTATTAATGAGAATGCATAAAATATATACTAGCATACATGCAATATGGGCCAGCTTTCCTTACCACCTTAACTAGGTAAAATAATTTATCCCCTTTGACATTAAGCCCCCTCCTCCCCCCTTCCTAAACCCAAAATACAGACATTTTTTTTAAAAAAATACAGTGGCATATCAGTGCAAGACACTTGCATGCTACGGCCTTTGTGTATAACTATTTGCTTTTGAATTTTCACCTTTCAAGGCCCTGTACAATAAACTTTATAATTTTCAGCGAAGCACAGCAGGTCATCAACAGAACACCACGGGGTTCCTGCCCAAAGTTCTGACTACCTCAACATATATGAATACTTGACTATAGATTTTTGCATCAATAGGGTTTAGAATCTACAGTTAGGAAAAAGTTCTTTTTTCAATAGAATGTACAAGCATTCAACTTCCGTTACACCCCTTTAATTAAGAAAAAATTGAAATCCTTTTTTTAAAGAATTTAAAATTTTCAAATTTTTTTTTTTTTTTGACAATGTGCATACATATTTCTGTTTGATGCTCTGAATATACTACAATGTTCACATGCCCCCGAGAACAGAATCAAATGCAATCCATTGTTTGCATATCTAAATTCTCCGAAAAACCTAACAAGAGGTTTGTCATGGGAAGATTTGAAATGTTGACTCTACTGCACCCAATGTAAATGTCCTATTCTATCACACAGATAACTGTTAGACATGATTCCCATTAGAGGTGAATCAAATTGTGACCCATGCTTGGTGCAACCCAGGCAAAAGTCAATGTTGTGTGATTCTTTCAAAGTTTGTAATGTAAGATAGATAATTGAAATCTTAGCCAGCATCTGTACAAATTAGTTTGTAAAACACAGGTAAAAATGTTGTTTTATGTCAGCTTCAGATCATTTTACATTGTTTGTGTCCATTGACAAATATACGCTTTGTAAGCAAACGCTTTGTCCCTTGTTGACTGTGATAAATTCACTGTGCCATAAATCTTATTTTTCAGGAAAAAGGCACTCAATATTGCCATAATAATGTTACCCAGAGTATACATTTACATTTAAGGTTGGGAAATAATAAAAAGAGGTGGCTCCAAGTCCGAAATCTGAGCACAAAGCTAACATAATACAGTGTACAGTTATAGATAAAGAAATAATTGAAGAAATAATAAGTTTAGCAATAGACTTCCTATGCCATAAAAACAATTTTATTAATCGTATTTATACAAATAAATTGTTTCAATCAAATGGCAATAAATGACAAGGGGAAGTAATTTGCCTCCCTTAATTTGAGTATATTTAGCCAAATGATGATATTTATTTCAGAGAAAAGGGTAAAATATCGTATAATCAGTGGAGACTATATCCTTATTGCCAAATGTTCTTCGTTACTGTAAATAATATCACTAAAATAACATTAGAAAATATTTTTTATGTCTATTAGATATACAGATATTCTGCAGATATATGTTTTTTATATATCATATATCCAATTCTTCAAGCTTTAATATGTGCTTAATCACTGAGTCATGATGTCCATTTATCAGTTACTGAAATGTTGCCTAGAACTTTTATGGCAATTTTTTCTCTAATTTTATTTTTCAAGGATATGCAGTCACCAAAATAAATTTGTACATGAAATTCTACATATTATATAACCAATGGTAATTATCTTTACTATAGAGCATTAAATTTTTGCGACATCTTATTTTCAAGACAACTTATTTTCACAAGATAGTAAATGACTCTTAACTGATCAGCAAGACAACATCACAAATCATAGTTATTAATTGCTATATATAATATATCTTAAGGAATACTATTATACATGAGAATTTCATTTTCAAAACAGGAATGGGCACTAAGGGTAATGAGTTGGCTGATTACCGATAAAAACTTATTCTCGGTGCATGATATATCTTGATTCAAAACATGGCAACTGTTTTCCTTTAGCCTGACCTCAATTTTTAGAGAAAAAATAAAATTTGGAAAAAAATCATAAGGAAATAATATTCATAAATTGTACATCTGTGCGTGTTTTTAGGATTGTACATGACAGGAAATTTACAAATGTAGCATCAACGTCACATCAACCCTTTTTTTGGCAAGCAAGACTTAGTTCAAAATAGAAATCAATTTTTCACTTTTAAATATTTAAAAACAATAAATTAAGATACAGAAACTGCATGGATTAAAAAATGTGCGAACAAGTTTTGCATAAAATCGGGCAAATCAAAATTACACGTTCACTAGTCTGATGGACAAGTGATTATAAATGTTAATGTCTATCCCTGCACAAGCACACCTTCTCAAGTAATTAAGCATAAAAAAAAAAGTTCTAGTATAAAATAAAAAGTGATTCACACTATTGGATATTTTGTATGCCATGCTGCCATCCCCATTTTCATATTTACTATCAGGTTTTTCATACACCATGCATCCATCCCAGTTTTAAATGTTAGAATACTACGTACCCCAGTGTTGGAATCTGATTTTTCATTTATGTGTGTTGTCCAGTTCTTTAGATTTGGAAATTTGGAAGAATCTACTAAAACAACTGAAAAACAGAAAAGACAATATAATTAAAATTTTTTACCAATCAAATTATATATTTACATATATATCAGAAAATTGACAATTTCTTTGACAAAATTGCTTTTAAAGATTCATTCCTTTTTTTAATTCAAAAGTAAGATTTTTGGAATTCCCATAAAATTTATTTGTAATTATATATATACTTAAAATGTGAATAGATCACAATGCATGTACATGTATAACCAATAATATTAATACACATTTCTTCTACCTGAGTCAGCAAATTGATGAATAAAAGGTACTGGCCATGCCATAAAAAAACAGTTATGAAATGAAATCAAAACAACATTTTTCCTTTTATAAAGCAAATGAAGCAATTAAAAATATTATAGCATCAGAAAATTTCTTGGCTCTGCACACTTTATATCTACATGATAAGATTTTAGCACGATAACATCACACACAGCCTCTAACAAATTTACTTTAATGCACATTTAATTTACTGAGATGGGAATAAGAAATGTGTCTCTTGTGCAATAAATATGTAATAGAGTGTGAAATATACAACCACAGCTGATGCCAGTGATAAAGTAAATGTATGAACCCAAGGTCCACATATTTCACACTGGTCTGTGAATTTTGAGCCTGATGGCCCTCGAGCCAAGGACCTTGGTCAGGCCCTACAGGTAACATATGGTTATTACTAAATGCCACAAATTCCCTTTGTACAGGTGTACAGGCATTGTTTTTGTCTGGCTGCAGTGTACCTGTATCTACCATCGTTCTATGGATTAAGCTGTCACCTCTTGTACAATGTTCCCCGTCAATCTCTCTCACTCGATGTACCATTACAAAAATTCCTAAGCCCAGACTTTTAACATAAATTACCGCAGCCTATCACAAAGATCTAATATCTTTCTACATTTAATTGCTCATAAATTACATTAACACACACTCTCTCTCTTTTTGTGCACCTGCACAAGACTTTCGCTTTAAGATTTTTTTTTTTGGTAATTTTTTTCTGTAAACTTTTATTGTTAAAAAATCTTTTAATAGCCACCACACTTTTAAATGTTAAGAGAAATTTTACTGCAAATATTAAAAATATATTAAATATATTTACACTTCACACTTGGATATCACACATTACAACACTCAATGGCACACTTCCCTTGCCTTGGCTATAAAATTGCTGGTCTATAACACAACACTACATAATGATCATGTCTGATCGATTTTTGGTTTGTATGAGTGACCACTAGAGCTGGTTATTTAGCATAATCAGAAGAGCTACCACTGGCTAATTCCACTCCTCTAAGTGACTGGACACATCTAGCCAATCAAATAAACATCAAAACTCTATCATTCTGTACTGTTCAATCAACACCAACATCTACATCAAGTGTAGTCTACTGAGTACATACACTCATAATATGGAAAATCTGTAAAAAGACAATATTTAAAACTTTCTTTAAATTCTCAATCTAAAATATAACTTGAAGCATACATGTATTAATTATCAAATTTTTTATCATCTGTGTGTAAAGCAGTGATAAGATCTGTTAGTGTATTGGTTATGTCTTTCTCGTGGACCCAAAGACCCGATTGCATGGTGAATGTCACATGACTCACAATATGTATAATCCTTCGACAAAAATTGTGACTGCAGGGCCGATATGTGAATGTTATCACTAAACGTATCATAACAAACCATCAACAACAAACCACAGAGTTTGAGAGGATTCCGGGGAAAGTGAGTTTCACTCTCTCCAAACGATGACCTGACAAAAACCTTTCAAGAAGGCCCCTTGAATGATCTAACGTGTGAAAAAGAAACAATCTAAGGAAGTGTCATTTAGAAAGAATGAAAAATAAAACTTGAAGTAAAAAAATTTTTCTCACAAAATTGTAGGGTGACTGGGTACAGAGGTGGATTTTTTGAGTGTAACTTAAAGCTACATTCTACCAGGGCAGGTTCCCCCACCTAATTAGACTGATTAACACTGATCAGGTGGGATCCTTCTGACAGACAGCTCCGATACATCTGTTATCACTAAGGTTTTTTTTTTAACAAACTTGAAACACATATCGGTACCAACTAAAATAGCCATCTAACATCATCACCGGTCCGACAATGATTTCATTCCCCTACATCTGCTCCTCATTGGCAGGTCCAACAAAATATTTACAAACCCGCTGCATATCTGTGAAGCAAAACAATCCCCCGCAGCCCACTTTGTATTTGATGTTTTGGAATGATACTGTTCATTAAATAGGTTACCAAAAAACCAAACACAATGAAAATGAAGACCTGCAAAAAAAAAACCTGCATGAAAATTTTGGCAGCCAACTTTTTGGGGGAAATCTTTGAACATGTTGAATACAGTTCTCTGATGTTTTTCTCGTGTTGAGTTCTCTATTGGATTCTATGTAGGAAGCTGACTACAGATAAAATAATCTGTTTTTAAACCACGACCTGATGCAGGTTTCTGATAAGTGATCCCTTCTAACATGTTTCTCTCAAAATAAAACACTACTCCTGAAAACTACCTACAGTGAAATTTCCATCCAGAAATGCTGCTAAAATCCCACTTCCACTCCATACTTCCTACAATACTGATGTTCCTACTTAATTTATGAAAGATATTTTCTTAGTGTCATACTTATAAAGTCATATATATTCAGGTTTTCAGATAAAATACATATAGATGTCAAGATAAATTTTGTAAATTTGGTTGTCAAGAGAAAATTAATGTGATGTCATGGCTGCTCTGCGAGACATTATGTTAATTCTTATATCTATATGTTAAAAGTGGGTTGCTCTCATTAAAAATTGTGTTTGTTAAAATACAAAGAAAAAATATTTGAATTTCTTTTATAATCACTATAGATAAAATTTTTGGCACCATTATGCTACTGATTAGTGATTAACTTTAGCTATTTTAAAGGCATAATATTTTCAAAACGACAACTCTCATCTTTTAGTAATCATGAGAAAGAACATTACGAATTTTAGATATTAAAGAAGGAATTAAAATAATTTGCCTTTAAAAAAAAGTGATACAATTCCTCTGTGAAATTAAAGCTTTGTCAAAGTAGTAGTTCATTTACAGCACAAGATCTTAACAGAATTAATTTGCAAAGAATCAAAAATCTCTGGAGTCACTGATTGCCTCTTCTGTATTAAAAACTTAATCAGAAATTATGCAATAGTAAACTTGCATCAACTGGCAGTCAACAGATACTATAATGCAACTTGTTTCCAAGAAAAACACAAGAATTTCCCAAAGGGAATCTAAATGAGTGAAAGGTCGATCTTTGCTGTTAAAGGCACTCAAATGAGGAATTACGCCTTAAAAAGAAGGTGGAAAACAATAAAATCTACTGCTAAAAGTGCCAAACATGGTACGCTGGGATCCCTACTTGTGTTAGGCTCATGTCAATAGAAAGTTGAAATACAACCCAATTTAATGGGCCTGTATAAACAGATTTGATTGTAGACAATCTCAAATCCTCACTTTTGGTAAGACTTCTGCTAAGAGATGGAAACTTCAAACTGACAATATCCCCCTTTGTTAAAATGGTGAAATCAAACAATCTGCACCTTGGGATCTACTTAAATGTGTTAGGAAGACCAAACATGCAGCCTCCCTCCTCAACTCCAAGAAGACAAACATTTAGTTAACACTTCTACTGGGACACATTGCGAAAGAGTATTTCACTCCTAAAATATCTTGCTTTCCTGCAAAACAAGATCTTTAAGGATATTTAATCTTTTTCAGTTCAATGAAAAGAAGAAAATTTACTATCGGTAATAAAATTTTGATTGAATGAAAGGACAATGCAAGTTGCTTGTGAAGTGAACATGCAACTCCCCTACCCAATAAATGTACCAAGAGCTTACAGGTTATTGTCAAGTTAATACTATTAGTGGTCTAATAATTCCTCAATGAACTACATACATCATTCCGATCTTTCAAATAACAAATACTTAGACACCCAAATTCAACTAAACACATTGAAATCTCTTAAACTAGAAAGATTCAACAGAAGGAAAATCAATGCAAACAGGATCTCGTCTGACAGTTAACATACAGCAGATTCCAGAAAAAGGATAAATGCCATCATATAAACTATCCATTCTCACAAAAAATTAGAAAGAGACGAAATAGAATTAACTTTACAAGGTTTATAGCCGATCTGTTACTGAAGAGGAGGGCTGAAAAAGATTTACCGTAATTACCCTCTATTTTTTCCTCCTACATATACCAAGTGAATACTTTTCAAAAACTATTTATCCAATCATCATGAAGCAAACCAAACCCTTTTTCTAATTTTATTACCAGTACATATTTTCAAGCATTTTACTTGTGGTCAATCTAGACTCTAAATATACTGATGCATTTTTTCAAATTAAGATTGCTGCCAAAATGCATTTCTAGTAAACAATTTTAGGAATTTTTTTAAAATTTGATAGTTTTCGATGGATTATAGACAGGATACATTTGATTAAGACATAGTGGACACTAAAAAATGGTCAACAAAAAGTATGATGGACACCTGACAAATAAAGACCTCACCCCCATTACTAGAGCTGTCCTCGGGAAATATAAGCCGTGCAATATTAAACTTTTCCTCTATTGAAAGAAGTAATCATCTCGCTTGTCTGTGAGACATCACATGCGGCTGACTAAACTTATTAGATAGACAAAAATCTCCAAAGCCTTTGAATTAAAAATAAACATCCCTATGATTTCTGTGGAGATTTGAGTCTTTGAAATTCTTTTTTATGTCCATTGAAAGCTGTGAAATGAGGCAGAGAGGTAAATGAAAGACCTCTGCAATGTTGCCTGGAAGAGACAGAGTTGTCAAATGCAAATTAGAAGCTAAGACCATGAGGATAATGCATATACTCCTCATCTTCCAAGATTATCCATTCAAAAACACGGAAGGGGAAAAAAATCAGCTGAATAGCGAAGATGAAAGCCAAGAAACTCCAGAGGGAAAGGAGTGGAAATATAA